AGATATTTTTATATAGATGTAATTCTCAAATATATATATATTTTTGGAACATCACGTAACACTAATATTTTTAAGTAAAGATTCTGATCATGTTATCTTCTGTGGCCATCACTTCTACATTACATGAATGATTATGTTGCTACGTGCTAAGTACTCTACTACTATAGCCTTCGGTTTGTAAGTGTACGCACATACTTAAATACGTGTGTGCGTATCTATGTGTTTAGTTTGTTTGATTGTTTGTGTGTGTTGTTCGTGTGTGTGTGTGTATGTGTGTGTGTGTGTGTGTGTGTGTGTGTGTGTCTGTGTGTCTGTGTATGTGTGTGTGTAAGTGTGTGTATAACTGTATATAGGTATGTTTTTCTCTGTTATATACGTTTCTAACTGTCTCTAACTATATACATATATGTACGTAACCACATAACTATGTATATAAACACACATATATCCGAATATATATCCCTCTTAACAGGACCAACAACGTACTTACGAACACACACCAAAACCTCTTGCAAAGTCTCTTGACCCCCCCCCCCCCCCCCCCCCCGGCGTGTCTCCAGCCAGCCGAGGCTTCGTCAGGAGACATCAGGAAATCCTCCTCCTGTTGACAGAGGGGCCGGGGGGGGGGGGAGGACGGACGGACGGACAGACGGACGGACAACAGCCGATGACCTTGCGCTGTGTTCATCGGTCTCTTACGGAAACGAGGAACAAACGGACGGATTCACGTACGCTGGTTTCGTTTCAAAATACAACGCCGGGTACGTGATTTCCATTATGTAAGAGGGAAAGGGAGAACGGATGTATCTATTTTGGTTTATGTAGGGACGTACATACATATGTACGAGAAGATATGCATACGTGCAGGAGAATATGTACACATACACAAGAACATATAAACACACACACACACACACACACACACACACACACACACACACACACACACACACACACACACACACACATACGCACATACACATGGTATACACAATAGCATCCACATACACAGCCACATCTTCATCCACATATACGCACACATACATATATACCCAACTGTTCTCCACACGCACACATAAGATCTCTAGAAGTAACAATATTAAAATCAAGGTTTCCCAGGCTCACCCGAAACAACAACAACAATAAAAACAACAACAAAACAACAGTAACAATAACAACAACAACACTAACAACAAGAACAAGAACAGCAACAGCAACAACAACAATAAAAACACCACCACCACCAACAACAAAAACAATAACAATAAAAACAACAACAACAATAAAAACAACAACATTAAAAACAACAACAACAATAAAAACAACAACAACACCATCACCACCAACAACAAAAATACTAACAACAACAACAACAACAACAACACTAACAATAACAACAATAAAAACAACAACAAAACAACAGTAACAATAAAAACAACAACAACACTAACAACAACAACAACAAGAACAACAATGAAAACACCACCACCACCAACAAAAACAATAGCAATAAAAACAACAACAATAAAAACAACAACATCAAAAACAACTACAACAACACCATCACCACCAACAACAAAAATACTAACAACAACAAAAATACTAACAACAACAACAACAACACTAACAACAACAACAATAAAAACAACAACAACACCACCACAGTCTCCTCTTCATCCCAATCTGGTTTCTCCCAAATCTCTCCCAGAATCCCTCCGACACAAAGATTTGCATTGGCGTAAAAAAAAACTCGTCATTCCAAGATTATCTTCGACTTTTTCCTTATCTTGTGTTTTTTATTTTTTTTATTTCGTTTCGTTTCTGTTTCGTTTCCGATTTCTTATTAATTTTTTTCTTGTTTGCGGTCTCTGTCTCTGTTTCTTTATTATTTTTTGTTTGTTTTAGTTTCTCTGTTTTACTCTCTCTGTCTTTTTTTCTCTCTCTATCTCTATCTCTCTCTTTCTCTCTCTCTCTCCCTCCTTCTCGCCTCGTCTATCTCCCTCCCTTTCTCTCTCTATATGTCTCGATCTCTGTCGTCCTGTCTCAACCCTCTCCCTTTCTCCCCCTCTAATCTCCCTCTCCCCTCTCTCTCTTCTTCTCCCCCTCTCCCTTCTCTCTCTCCTTCTCCTCCTCTCTCTTCTATCTCTCCTCTCCTTCTCTCCCCTCTCTCTCTCTTTCTCACCCTCTCCCCTCTATCTCTCCTTCTCCCCCCCTCCCCTCTATCTCTCCTTCTCCCCCCCCTCCCCTCTATTTCTCCTTCTCTCCCTCTCTCCCCTCTTTCTCTCCCTTCTCCCCCTCTCCCATCTATCTCTCCTCCTCTTCCCCCTTTCATCCCCTCCCCCTCCCTTTCCTCTCCGTGTCCCTTTTCTCTCGTCCTCAACCTATTCCTCCATCAACACGTCAAGCACTTTAGCAAACAGTATATATATTTTTTACGCGACCGCTCTTGCATATGAATGTCATCTTGCAAAGGTACAACTTCTTTACAACGACTCTGCATCTTGCAACAATCCTGCAGTTAGTATTTTTAATCCTACACGTTTCTCTGCATTTTGGTATTGCAAATGCTGCGACTGGCAACCTGGGTGATGTATTTTATCAAAGGTATTTACGATGAATGATAAAATTTTCTACTGTGTTTGCGATAGTGATGATGACTTTGAGGTGACCAGCGCGTTATATAATTGGATAATCTTGCTCGTTTTGCACAAGAGAGGATTAATTCTATTTTCTCTAATAGCATAATCTAATTATTATTATTTTTTGATACGAAAAAATATAATCATATAAAAGATTCAGCTAATTTTTTTTTTACTTTCTTTTAGGGGGAAAATCTTCATCATTATCAAAAATACACATTAGATATAGAACTAACCATTTATCTATCATTATCAAAGATACACATATAATTAATCCCGGAACGTCACGCCAATTACGCAAAGGAATCATTGCATGCAACGAATCCCTTGCAAAAGCAGCAAGAAAGTGCGTACCAGGAAGTGCTTCTAGCCACGCCTCGGACGGGGGAAAAAATCGCTGACTTAAACACATCTCTGGTAACTTACAGGAGCGCCTACGGAAAGCGAAGAACAGTGGCGATCGTTCAGGTTTTGTGTTCGTGGTGGTCAGATACGTACCCGCATACGTATATGTACTTATTCATGTACACATATATGTATATGTATGCATATGCGTACACGTACACTCATACACACACATGCACACACACACACACACACACACGCACACACACACACACGCACACACACACACACACACACACACACACACACGCACACACACACACACACACACACACGCAGACATATAATCTCACTGCCACATTCGCAATTTCCAATCTCTCTTTAATCCACCTTGTTATCAATAGTCATTTTTTTGATCGATTCAAAGCTTACGAATTTCGCGGAAAGAATATAAATTGATTTAAATGAAACGACCTCATTCTGAGTAACTTCGTGCAATCTTTTCTTTATTTATCTTGAATTCTTGAATATTTTCTAACAATAATATACATTTGAATAATGCAACGCCATCTTTCGCCACACAACATTTTTTTTTTAAGTAGTAAAATTTCGTTTTTTTTTAATTTTATCATCATTATCTTTTTTTTTTATGAGTATCATATATTCTGAAATAACAATAACATTTTAGTTTTTTTTTCTTTTAATGCGTATTTTTTAATATTTTTTTTTTATTATTATCATACATTTTTAAATAACAATAACATTTTCCTTTTTTCTTAAATCAGTAAATTTCTTCGCTTTTTCCGCCCCATCAATTTTTTTTTTTTAATGATTCTATATTCTCTACTAACAAGGTCGTTCTCCCTCCCTCCCCCCTCCCCCCTCCCCCCCACCTTACCTTTTCCGGAAACAACGAGGCAACAATAATAATATTTCTTAAGTAAAGTTTCATGTTTGATGCATCTGGTTTCCTCGCTGTGGGGGGGGGGAGGGGAAGGGAAGATGGGAGGGTAGGTTTAATATGATGATGATAATGATAATAACAAAAGGAAGATGATAATAATAATGATAATAATAATGATAATAATAGTAATGATTATGATAATAATAATATTAATGAAAATAATAGTAATAATAATGATAATACAAATACTAATTACTAATTATAACAATACCAATAAAATATAATAATAATAACAACACCTACAACTACAAAATAGCAACACTAATAACACTACTACTACTACAACTACTATTACTACTACTACTACAACTACTACTACTACTACTACAACTACTATTACTACAACTGTAACTACTATTACTACAACAACTACTACTACTGCAACTACTATTACTACTACTACTACTACTATTACTATTATTACTACTACTACTACTACTCTTCCTCAATCGCATCCCGGCGGCCGCCCCCCCCCCCCCAAGTGAACCAGGCTGCGTCGGTGACCCCTGTGACGTCAGAGCGAGGGGGGGGGGTGAAGGCCACTGAGGGAGAATTTCGTATCATGAAACATTTATTTTTTATTTTATTTTTTTTTTTTTTATATTCATTGTTTTGATTTCCGCAGTTTCGGTACTGAATTGGTTGAAATATTGGTAATGTCACTTTGACTATTATTGTTGTTATTGTTAGTATTGTTATTATTGTCATTATTGTTATTGTTATTGTACTGATCATTGTTTATTATAACTATCAATGATATTATTATTATTATGATAATAATTAATATTATCATTATTATTATTATTATCATTATTATTATTATTATTATCATTATTATTATTTTATTATTATCATTATTATCATTATTATTATCATTATTATTATTATCATTATTATCATGATTTTATCCTTATTGCTATTATTATCACTGTTCTTATTATTATCATTATCATTAGGATTATCACCATTATTATTATAGTTATGATTATTATCCTTACCAAGATATGAATAACGAATGCACATAAAGTATATAAAGACGAACACAAAGAGAA